GAAGGCCAACATAGTTCCGTGTAGAAGCTCATAGCTCACACACATAGCACAAAGCTCGATTTGGTGTTTAATGCATGTCCTCGCCGGCAGAACTGCTTCCACTTTTTCGCCAGGTTTGCGTCCGTAGGAAACGGAAAAAAACTTATACAGCACGCTTTCCTTTTGTTTTCCTTATTACACTTTGCCACTGCACACTTCATTTTGCTTTTTAATGTCTCAATAATTGTTTAAAACCACGCAGAAATATTAACGCACAAATATTAAAATTGTTTTTTGGTTTTTTCGTATGCTCACATTCAACAATTGCACCAAGATGACGTCACGCACACAGCTCATTCTGTCAAAATCACAAAGAGCGGATTAGCGGTACCGCGATTGGCGCAATCTCTATTTCTCTCAATCGTGTGTATTTTAGAATACCGTTAAAAATCAATATTGATTATCGCCAGATACTTTGCGTTGGCGGTAACTTCCGCCAGACGCTTTAAAGTTCACGTAATCAATATTAGGCGCATTCTTTTGCAACCGGTAAGGTAACTAAAGTTTTTAAGTACCCTTCCTATTGCACACATACTAAAATTCATTAATTTGAAAATGAGATAGGTCTGGCGGCCCTGGGATCATGTTATGAATTGTTCATTGTTCATTAATCAATTGTAAGTTGTAAATAATAAATAGAAATACAAAGTAATACAAAGAAAATATTTTAGTTTTATTATTTTGGCCACTCCGAGTTTAGTATTTGAATTTGCCCGCGATGACAATTTACATAGTTATGTATTGGGAATATTTAGAAATGTATCAGCAGGGGGTCCACCGAAACCAGTAAATTTTTGAAAGGGGTCCACGAGAAAAAAAGTTTGGGAAACAGCTTGTCCTATTTATCAAATGTGCCTATTTACTTATTTGCCTTAACGCGTCAGGTGTGCATAAAAAGTGCTGTTTCTTCTGAAATAGGGCTTGCTAACTAATTTAGCCGTGTCCTATTTTTAATGACCAATATTCCAGACCTAAACTTTTATCTGCCTTTTGTTTCTCCTCTTCTCTTTCTGATTTTAAAACTGGTATTATAAAGTTGGGTACTTACACCTTGAACTGCAGCTGCTTCACCTGAAAGTCTCGCGCAAAGACCGCCCGTGCTGTTGGCTTTATCATCAAACCAAGCAACTTCTTGTTTCAGGATCGCTTCAAACATCAAGCCTCTCAATCGTTCCGTTAGCTTCTCACCCGCAACGCCGAAAAGGTATATCTGCGATACGAGTAGTACTAATGTAAATAAATATTTATGTACATATCGCACACCTAGATCTAAAGTGCGATGAACCCAAAAAAAATTGGCGATTTTTTTGCGTAAATCAATTCATAGCACTTACATCCAATTAATGGAAGTATTTTTTTCTTCATGATTATATAAATTAACTAAAAAACTACTGTTATACCTTTATTTTGTATTAATTGCGTTTAATCTGTACGATCCACAAACAGTTAAATTTACCTCTAGGAATTTTGAGTTAGCTCACTTTAGTCTAGGTGTGCGATATATAAGAACAATTACATTTAGCAATTTATGTTATTTTTTAATTTTTACCATTTAAATACATATGTATGCATGTATAATCTCTACATATAATAAAATTGTAGCCGGTCGATGTCTGTACATTATATATATTAAAGAAAAATTAATTTGGGGGGTCTTTAGTAGAGCACCAGAAGCAAAAACAACCATTTTTAGAATTTTTGTCTGTATGTTTGCACTCACATCACTCGAAAAAGAATGCATGGATTTGAATGCAGTTTCCATGTATTGCTAGATGTCTAACTTAAAATATAGACAGAAAAAAAAATTGAGAGTTACCGCCTGTTGGAAAATTGCAGATTAAGTATATTGATAAGAAAAAGTGAATATTGCAGTACGGACGTCAAAAGAAAGAGGCTTAAGAAGGGTTACAAAAATACAAATATATTTTTTTAGAGTTGCCACCTGTTTGAAAATTTTAATTTATTTTAATTTATAAGATAAATTAAATATTGGGGGAAAATTTCTCAACTGGACCTCGGATTTCAGTCAAGCTCGAATTTTTGCGTGAAAATTTGTGGGTAGAGAGGTTTATAGATGTGAAAGGGATTCTGAGATTTTTTTTTTTAATTTTAATTTTTAAAGTTTTTATAAGCAAATATAATTTTAAGCAATATTTTTTTCAAAACTAATTTTCTCTTTAAGTATTTGACGATAGTTGACGAAATTCTATTGTAAGCGTACTGACATTAGAGCTTTAAAAAACAAATATTTTTATAATTTAGACATTTTTTTTTTAATTCAAACACAAATATTCAAGTTGCATTAAAAATATGTTCTCAATGAGTTTTTTCCATTTCGTTCATATTTTCGAAAACTGAATTTATTGAATAAAATATTAAAAAAAAATGTTAGATCTTTTCTGACTTACAGCAACATTTGTCACAGCGCGCGCGCGTCGTGAAAACGGTTGCCGTTTTGGTCCAAATGGACCAAATTTGGCCCATTTTTTTCGTTTGGTCCATTGGTCCAATGCTTTTTAAAATGGTCCATTTCACAATGCTTTGGTTAGCTTATTATCACCCTTTTACTTCATGCAATAGTTTTTAATTTTTTCTATTTAATTGATGAATTTCTGGAACACCTGCTAAAAGTTTGATTAAGCCGCTGATCTTCAAATATGGCGTCGCTAATCATCTGCCAAAGCACGCTTCAAAAAATTCCGCGGTTACTTGCTAATTTCAATTTAAATGTTTCTTTGAATTCATGTATATATGCCGAACTTCTTCTAGGCATTAAAATAACAAATAAAATAGTGTAAAAAAATTTTGATGTAATGACACGGTTATTTGTTAATGCCCGACTTTGTCATTTGTCATTTATGCTATTTAATACCTAGTGGAAATCCAGCATTGGTTTGGAAACTTGAAGGTACATGTGTGTACCTGAAAGTGTGTTCTTTATTTTCTCATTATACTCAATTTATCCTTATGGGAAAATATTAAAAATGTTACTTTAAAAGATATTTAATATACGATTGTAATGCACTTTATATGCAATATGTAAAAATCGTAATAAAAACTGAATTGGTATATTTTCTTGATAAAGAGCAACAAACTCCACTCGATTTCTCGATGTTACCGCAGAACTCGACAGGCAATCACCGATGGCCTACCAACTGTCATTTTGACGAGCAATATGATTGCAAGTTTTTGTGGGTGGGCACTTTGATATCTTGAAATAAGCATTTGCCGCATGACGCCACCAGACAACATTCTCTCAATTTCGGTGTTTAAAAATATTTAAATCTTTAAAAAGCTTGCTGAATAATTTGCTAAAACGTAATCATAAATAATCCAATATGGCTGTCAAACTATCGAATTGACTTCAACAGATGTCAAACAATAAGCGCTGACATATAATGCAGCCCATGAGAAATAGGCGGTCTCCATTGGAAATATATTTTGTGACATGGTTATCACGACATCAGTGTTTTCCTGTGGAGACAGGGCCTTATAGAAATTGGTCCATTTTTTACCATTCGGTCCATTTTTTGGACCGAAAAAGAAATTGGAAACGGCAACCGTGATCGTGAACTATGCACGCTCACCGCCTATGCGCGCATCGTGTCCACTAGAAAGCGCGTACAGAAGCAACTAACAATTGGCTCATACTACCGACTTTCAACGTAACCGCATATAATAATGATGGCATTTATGGTAATTTTAAGGCATTTTCAGGTTAAGTTTTGCATCGGAGGAATGTGCTAAAATAATCCCATTAGTTCCATTTTTTTGGAGTTCACACACAACATTATTACCAGGGAACGGATTTTTAGGACCTAAAAACCTACAAAAAAAAGAAACAAAAGGCAGGAAAAGGCCCTAGAAAGCAAAATAAGGTAATAAATAAAGACAAAAACCGAAAAATAGTCAAAAAATACAGTTATTTTAGAAATATTTATTTTACAAGTAAAAAGAGAAAAACTATGAACTACATAGTTTCATTATATCAAAAATTTGTACTTTGAATATTTGGCTATTTTCCCCATTTGAGTTTTTAACTCGCAAAACTTTAATCTCTATAGCTGTAGTAACATTGAACCACAAGGTGCATTTTGAAGTTTTCTGGCAGCATTTTTATTAGATGTTCGCGAAGAAAAGCCTTAAATGTACTAAACGTGCGCTCGACGTGAGTTGCTACAAGTGGCGCCCATTTAAATTGTATATATGGAATCAGGGAAATCTAAATCGTGGTCATTCTTAATCAAATATACTCTATCTCTTTAGCAGAAAAAAGGCAATTTCCATAAAATCTGTTCCATGATTATTACAAACATATGGGCAAAATTTCGGAGTTATTTATGCATCAGTGCACTTTTTATTGCATTTTTAAGACGATTTTCATGTTAGGTTTATATGGGAGGTATGCTTTAAAATAAATCGATTACGCCAATTTTTCGTTTTTTTTTTTGGTTTTTTTTTACTTGTCTCCATAAATGTTGCACACGGAACATTGAGGTTATACGCCGACTCCTTCCATTTTTCCAAAAAAATATATGGGGTTGTACCACTGTGCGATGTTGAACACTTGAAAAATCACAAAAAAAAAATATTAGACAAAAAATTTACATACTTATGGTTGACTGATGGCGCTAGAACCATACAGTGGCGTGTGAACTCCAAAAACATGACTTGAGCAGATTATTTTAACACGTAGTTACCAAGCTTAACACAAAATTTTTTTTTACAAATATTTTCTTCAATAAATGCAGTTTTCGAAAATATAAACGAAATGGAAAAAACTCAATGAGAACATATTTTTAATGCAACTTGAATATTTATAATGTTTGAATTAAAAATTTGTATTCTTTTTCTAAATTATAAAAATATTTTTTTGTTTAAAGCTCAGTGACATTACTACGCTTACAAAAAAAAATCATCAACTTTCGTCAAATACTTTAAGCGAAAACGAGTTTTGAAAAAAAGATTGCTTAAAAATATACTTGCTTTTAAAAACTTTAAAAATTAAAATTTTTCAAAACAAATCTCAGAATCCCTTTCACATCTATAAACCTCTCTACCCACAAATTTTCACGCAAAAATTCGAACTTGACTGAAATCCGAGGTCCAGTACAAAAATTTTCACCCTATTGCAATTTGGGTATCAAACTGAACAGGTTTAGGAAATTTTACTGCCGAAAATATTTTTGCCATCTGTTTGAAAAATTTTATTGTATTAAATTGATAAAATAAATAAAATCTATATCTATACTTATAACAAAATTGTAACAGGCCGATGTCTGTACCTTACATATATTAAAGAAAAATTAATATGGTGGGATTTTATTAGAGCTACAGAAGCCAAATAAAATTTTTTTAGAATTTTTGACTCTCTGTCTGTCTGTATATTTGTACGCGCATCACTCGAAAACATAGAATTGAATGCAGTTTTACCGATGTATCGCTAAAGATCTAAGCTATACAATATAGAAAAAAAATTAGAGAGTTGCCACCTGTGTTTAAAATTTCAGTTTAGGTCAATTGATACGGTAAATGCAATATGGCTATCAAAGGCTTACAGCTGAAAATATTTTTGTGGAAGGTTGCCACCCCTTTGAAAACTTTAAATTAGTTGATAGCATAAATTAAATATTGCAATATTGGCATCAAACTGAAGAGACTAGAAAATTTTAATTTTGAAGCGGGTTGCCACTTATTTGAAAACTTTAATTCAGTTAAATTTATAAGATATAATATAAATGTTGCCATATGGGTATCAAACGAAAGTATTTGAGAGCAATAAAATTCCAACAGGCCGATATCTGTACATAATAGATGGTAAGGAAAAATTAATAGGGGGTTTATTAGATCAACAGCGAAATCTGAAATGTTTGTAAGCGCATCACGCAAAAATTAATGTATGGAATTAAATTCAGTTTTCACCGTTTGTACATATTGCTAGAGCTCTAATTGAAAATACATAATCCGTTTTTTTGTTTTAGTTTATCGTCATCATTATTCCTAGGTATTTAAATGCATTAATTTTTTCCAGCGCGTTGTTGTTTATATTTAGAGTTAGCAACGGACTGTTCTCAAAATTTCGCCTTGATATAACCACATTTTGTTGACATTCAATTAAGTTTGTTCAAGCATAACCAATCGTACTTTTTTGGAGCTTCTGTGTGGAAGGTTTTTCGCTAAAAAAATCAAAACTTTTTGTTGTTGCTGCCAAAATATTAGAGAAATCTGAGACGTCACGCTTTACAATTTCATAGAGTTCTCTGTATAATGTATTTCACTTAACGGCTGCACCGATTTGGTTCATATTTGGAACATATGCCAGCACCTTGCAAATAAATATTCCGACCAAAACTTTACACGGTATGTGGCTCGGGATATTCCTATAATTCTTATACAGACTAAAATATAAAAAACCAATATATCTCTTAAACCAATTATGTTGGGGAACTGAAACTTAGCACTGAAGCATATATTGCAAATGCATTGGAAAAGGGGGCGTGGCAGCTTCCACACAAACTGAACTTCTCATATAGCTTATTTCTGGAACCGCTTACGCTAACGTCCCACAGTGTTTCGACTATATGGAGGCAGGTAGAAAAGTCATGGTGACCGTTGATAAAAAAAAACCGGTTGGACTTAGAGATGGAAAAGTAAAAGTCAATAAATAAAAATTTTACATTATTTACTCACCCCCCTTCTTCATGAACGATACATTTCCAAAAAAATACGGGAATGGACGCGATACCGACTTATCAGTTTAGTTGCCTTTGGCGATTAACCCTTTAAAGAAAGTGTTTCTTTTCCAACTGTAATCAATTATATAAATGACGTGGAATATTCAGGTGAAGGTATTTACCATTTATTTGGTACTTTTCTATTTTCTTACCAAATAATTTACTTTGAAATGAAGATGCTAAAGATTATTACTAAAAAAATGTGAGTACCGGTCCGTCAGGTCTTGACATTAGACGAATGTTTTAGAGAATCTTATGTAGTTTTCGAATATATAATTTGATCTTTGCGCGCGACTTTGCAAATATATGTAATTTTTAATTTTCTTAATTTTTGATTTTCAGCTTCTTTTTGCATAATTTCTCGAAAAGAATTTTTCGAACAATGAAAAAATGTCGCCAGAAAGAGCGAGTATTTACACATAAGTCATTTTATAGTATAACCTTTGTTTTCTGGGAGTGGAAAGCAGGAAACAAGAATTAACCAAAATTCCATCACATTTAATGACTGGGCCCACATTATTTGTGAGTTTTGGACGTTATAATGATCCAATCTTTCCCATATTTTATATTTAGATTTTTCTAATAAAATAAAGACCACAAACTAAATTTCAACGAAATCGGATGAAATTTAATGCTCACAAGAGTAGAGGGCGTGGCAATTATTCCATCTTTACAAAATTTCATAATTCTCTGTTTCTAAGTAAAACTAGAGCACATGTCAAGTTTCAGTGAAATCGGTGCAGGTGTACTATTATTTCCACTTGCCTCCATATAGTCGAAACTCTGTGCGTCCTCAAACTCGCACATATGTTATCAATACCGTACTTATGGCGAAAGTGGTAATTTTTGGAAAGGCTGGATCGATATACATTTACGTAAACTCGCAAATATCATTCGATTGGGAACCATTTTCTCCTAGATTTCTAAATCCTATTGAATTATTGTAACCTTGTTTTTAATTTTTGGTAAAAGCTAAAATTTGTGTAAAAATTTTGAAGAATTTTTTTAAATTTTTCACAAAGAATGGAGCTTTGATTTTTCAAGTTTCGCTATAGACTGTCAATCTACATACCTATTTGCATAAAATGTTAGCCGTTGTTCGGACTAAACTCAAAACCCACTGAATCGGATCTCCCTCTATTCAGTGGAGGTTATCTTACATGCATATATGGTCCTATTACATGCTACTAGAAAACTCGATAGGTATTTAGTGCTGGAGTAAAGTTATTTATAAAAATCGTATTTATTAACCGATTTCGTTCAAATTTTAAATGTGAGCTGTGTACCTGTATGATGGAAAATTCTTTTGATAAAAATTGGAAAATTCTTTTGATAAAAATTGAGTCGAAGTTGAAATTCATAACACGCATTCATTTTATGGTAAAGCTGTTCTTACACGATATGTATTTTCATTTGTAAATGTGACTTTCTCAATACATATGTAATTCCGTATGTCTGTCAAATTCAGTCTTTATTTAACTATTCAAAAATACATTCTTTGAAAACGAAATAAACTAAATTCAGATGATTCTATCTGTGTGTCAGATGAAAATCAGAACATTTCTAATTCGTATGTACGTGCATCTGCTTTGTACAGAAACAAATCTAATTTGCCTTTACACGATATGTTGACATTTCCATATGTAAAAAGAGGCATGTACACATGATAATGCATAGGTACATATCGTGTAAGAACACCTTAAGCATTGGTTTTGCAGAAAATGGACCCAATGGATGGCGCTGCAGCCGAAATGTATAGAAACCCCGTGTGGTTGGTCTGCTTTGGCCCTATGTTTAAGTTATACGAATTTAGTTTTCAGATGTCTAAGTGAAGTATGGGGTTAAGTTTGTCTGATGCCCTCATACACGAGTTCATAAATATTACCACGAATTGTAAAAGTGGCGAATTAACAAGGAAAGATCACCGTAGGTATACCCATTGCTTCATTTGAAAGATATTCAAGAGATCACATGACTCATTTAGCCATTGTACCGGAAAACTTTTCATCCTGTAGGACAGCGAGGATTCTTGGCCTTCCTATAACAGAAAACGCACTTCTGTGCTCTTGAGAATTGTTTTTTAAATACTAATGATTTTTTATGAACCCCTTTTGCATTTTTGGGGGGTTTGGGGGACCTACACAAAAAGTTAATATTGAACAAGTAAGAGCAGCGCTGTCTTCGGCTATGCCGAAGGCATCATACCCTTCATGAACATCTGAAAATTTTAATTTAACAGATTACTGTATTTGAAAAAAATTATATATTCACAGCATACATAGATAGAGGAGTTACATATCGTCGTTTAAAGTACAAAACCGCGTATCGTCATTCTGCAAAACTGCGTAACTGACATTTGCTGTCAAAATTTGGATTTGCTCACACAAGCTCTTGGCTGAATCCTTACCCATTCGTTCTGAAATATACTAGTCAGAAATGCAATTGTAAAAAACAGAACCATTTTGAAATATGAGTGTTTTTACTCTCTATAAAATAATATATGCAACCTCACATACGCGGTTTTGCATTATCTTGATACTCGGTTTTGTACTTTAAACGACGATATACAAAATCATATCTAAATAATCAGAGGTATGGAAGAATACCTTATATAGCACCAATCTAAGTGATTTTCACTGCTATGTGATCGGTATGTAAACCGGTAAAACAATTTAATGGGTTTAGTTTCCTACATAAAGGAGATATATCCCAAAAACTGGTATCTAAACAATCAGTGAGATAAAGCTTATACAGTATAGATTTTGACGATTTTCTCGATAGACTTTTTATGATTATTAATAAACTAGCTTACGAAAGTTATCGGTTTTAGCTGTCCAAATAAAGGAGTTTTACAGTAAAACTCCATATTTGAACAATCAGTTGTATGGAGGCACTAAATAGGTTATAGTGACCCGATCTTTGTTAATTTTACTGTAAACTTACAGTTGATGATGAGTGAAAATAGTGCGAAATTTCATGTTTCCAGCTGCATAAATGGAGTAGTTATAAAAAAATCTCATATTTGATCTCAGTTGAATGGAGGCTATAGTTTATAGCGATCTTCGTCATTTTCACTGTAAGTATTCTTTTGATAATGGGTGAAAATAGTGCGAAATTTCATGTTGACAGCTAAATGGAGGAGTTATAACAAAAAATCGCATATCTGAACAATCAGTTGTATGGGAGCTATATGTAATAGTGACCAGATCACGGTAAGGATTATGTTAATAATGGATGATAACAGTGCAAAATTTCATGTTCCTAGCTACATAAATGTAGGAGTTATAATAAAAAATCTCATATCTGAACAATCAGTTGTATGGGGGCTATTACTGTAAGTATTCTGTTGATAATGAGTGAAAATGGTGCGAAATTCGTGCTCCTAGCTGCATAAATGCAGGAGTCATAATAAAATATTTCATATCTGAACAATCAGTTGTATGGGAGCTATAGTGGTCCGATTATTCCAGTTCCGACAAATGATTACTACATTATACTCCCACTTACCAAATTCCATCCGGATATCTCGAAAACTGAGAGACTAGATTGCATACAAACTGACGGACATGGCTAAATCGATTCAGCTCGACGCTCTGAACATATAGGTATTTTAATGGGTCTATCTCTTCTTATTCTGGTACTTACAAACATCGCACCAAAGTTATAATACCATTTCATGCTCATGAAAGTTATAAAAATGGTTAAACAAACCATTGGGCGTTATTATTTCAAGTCTCCTGAGGACAAACAGAGTTTTCTGATCAAAAAATATTGATTATCAAAAATTCCTCGAAAATTTGTTTTTCTCCCATATAAAATACATGGAAAACTTTGAACGCTCTAAATCTTTTTTTTTTTCAAAATAAGAAATGGGTATATTTTTTCGGTATAGAATCATCCTAGGGGGTGAGAGCATTTAAATTCCGACAATACATTTTTTATTACCTCCATAATGTAGATATACATATAGACATACATACATACATATGGATATAACGTATGTAATATTTACCTGAAAAAATGTTGCAAAACCAGTGATGACACCAGTTACTAAAAAGTATAAACTGTATTTATTCGTGTTTTCGCGAACATATTCTGGGTCGTCTTGAACTGCTAAAATTTCAAGAATTTCTCCAAAAAGCACTGCAAAAATAGGCATAGCAAAGCCCATTATAGCCGATGATATTACTCCGCACAACAATTGTGGCCATTCCGGTTTATTCTTTTTTATAATAGGCCATAGTGAGGACTCTTCATCGGATTCTTGAAGTAAAGTTTCCTCCTCAAGCTTAATGTCAATAAGCTCCTCATCCTCGTCCTTCGTGCCGAAGAAATTTGGCGATTTTTCAACATTTTGTACTTCAGCAGTTAAGGGCTCGTCTCCCAGTTGCGTTGTAACCAAATTATAATAGTGGGATTTCAGGTCCATCAATTCGGCATGTGTGCCACTCTCGACCACTTCACCTTTATTAATGACCACGATCCGGTCAGCGCGTCGGATTGTCGATAACCGATGGGCAACAATGATTGTGGTACGACCTTTACTCGCCTGGATGGGAGAAATGTTTTAATATTTTCCAAATTGGTTTTGAAAGTATTAGAAGTACCTTCTCAAGAGCCGCCTGTACTTTCGCTTCACTAGCTGTGTCCAAGGCGGAGGTTGCTTCGTCCAATAAAAGTATTTCGGGATCTCTCACTAATGCACGTGCGATAGCGATACGTTGCTTTTGCCCACCAGACAATTGAGCGCCACGTTCACCAACCAAAGTATCAAGTCCCTGGAAAAGATGCATTCATAGTGAATTTAAGCTTAAGTGTAGTCGATTAAATATATCTAGTAATACTTACTTTTGGCAACTTATTTATAAAAATATGCGCATTTGCAGCTGTGGCTGCCGCAATGATCATCTCTCTCGTAGCATCCTCTCTGCCAAAGCGAATATTTTCATATATGGTTGTTCCAAATAGTACTGGTTCCTGCCCGACGACACCTATGCGCTCCCTTAGCCAAGTAATATTTATGTCTTTCAAATCGACATCATTAAAGTATATGTTGCCTTCTTGCGGATCGTAAAAACGTTGAACGAGTTGAATAATCGTTGATTTTCCACAACCCGATGACCCAACTAATGCTATCGTTTGACCACGATGTATCTTCAAGTTGAGTTTATCCAGAATTTGTACTTCGTCTCTAGATGGGTATTTGAAACTGACGTTCCGTAGTTCAATGTGTACCAGAGATTGATTCAAATTTTTGCCCCTCGGTTCGATCGGGTTGATTGTCGGCACTTGTTCGATAATTTTAAATACTTTTGCGCACGCACCTTTTGCAATGCCAAAAGCTTCGATATATGGCGAGGCCATGCCAATATTCATAGAACCCATCATTACTGAAAAAAATACCTACGCCAAAGATTATTTAAAAACTAAATATATACCAAATGGACACACACCTAAATTGACCTTATTTATTACACATACCGTTATCATATTTCCAGGATCGTAATTTTCGTATCCTTCAATGCCAGCGTATTTCTTTAAGACTAAGCCAACGCCAAACCAGAAAGCCAAAGCATAGGAAGCATAAATGAAGAACCATAGCATACCAAACCCAATTCCAGCAAACATATTTCGCTTAATATTTATCTTCCGGGCATCAACTATTTGTGTTTTGTAGGCACTGGCTTCCTTGTACTCGCCTTCAAAAGTTTTCACAGTGCGAATGGCACTCAGTGCCTCCTCTGCAATATTTCCAGCTTTAGCATAGATATTCAGTTCTTGTTTTGATAACTTTGAGGTCATCTAGCGAAACAAAAAGCCAAAAAAGGATATTTTGAGAATTTACCGACATATGTATGTACAGTAGACTGCATCACCAAAAAAAGTTGCGGTTTTACTGCCGGGATTACTAAATCTATTATTTGTTAAGACCTCCACCAAAATANCCAAAAAAGGATATTTTGAGAATTTACCGACATATGTATGTACAGTAGACCGCATCACCAAAAAAAGTTGCGGTTTTACTGCCGGGATTCTAAATCTATTATTTGTTAAGACCTCCACCAAAATTTTTCGGAAAAATATTAACATTTCAGTTACAAAAATGGAGTTTTTTATGAATAAAAATAGTTTCTTAAGGAAATTTTTGAAAGAAGTCCCCTCAGATGACAAACCAGATTAAGCTTAAACAATTTGCATAAAAATATTTAAAAATCTTTTCAACGGAATCGTAATAATGAGATTTTTATGCTGTTTCTTTACTTTTTTCAAAGATTGTTTTACGAAAAACTTGAATAACTGGGCCAAAACTATTCTGATTTAGGCTTATAGGATCTCAGTAGAAAGGTATTTTCACACTGTTTTTATTTCTGGCCAAAAATGTTATTCGTGTCCCATTTTTTTTTCATATACCAACACATCTTAATTCAACTTTGAATGACGTTCGTTCATCCTGCCTTTCAGTATCAATATTAAAGCATACATTTAGAAGGCATTTCCGCCACAACCATGTACATGTACGGCATTAGTATAGGTGTGACTTTTGAATTGATTTCTTTGCTTTATGTTAAACTTATTTGAAGTTTGAAAAATTGTCTGCACATCGGCATCAAAATACCTTTCTAATGATATAAAGAAAACATGATTGCCTATTTATCTTATGATTTTGTATGATATATTTTTGTTTAGTGATCAGGTGATTCAAATAAGCCAATAATTCACCAAGGGTAAATTAGGTGGGGAATACTGTGTAGGTATTTCTTTTGATGTTATCAGAATCCTTAGATACTTACGATCGACACAACGCCCAATGCTATGAATGTAACTGGCAAACTGCTAAGACAGACTAAAGCTAGCAACCAACCTTTGTAAAAGGCTAATACTAGCGAACCAATGAAGGCCACAATATAGTGGACAAACATAACGTCCTTTTCGGCTATACCATCCTCCATTTTAGACAAATCCCTAAAAATGAAAATATTGGAAATAATGTTATTAGTAGTATGTACATTGGGGTGCCCATGGACTTTTTTTAATCTTAAGATCCTACCCCCTAATTGTTATCCTTTTTATGAGAAATATTCTTGCCTATTTTTATAGATTTCAAAAAATCGTTTAGAGGTCGCGACTAGTGCTGGGTTTACACTAGAGGGCTGCATGAATGCATTCAAAACGGCTTATGAATTATTCATATGCAAAACGAATGAATGATTCTGGCTTCAAATTTTTTTGAATTTGAGTGAATAGCTGTTCTGATACATAATTCAATAATTAAAGGTTTGCTCATTATTGACATTCGAGTTTTGACACTCCCTTAACTCCCTTACAAAAGCTTTGCACACACACACAAACACACACACAGTGCCTTGCTAAGGGAGCCGATTTTGTCATGAGGGAGCGAGAAAACTGTTTTTTGAGCAAACCTTTTATTATTTAATCATGGTTCTGATATTTGTGTCGACATTACAATATTCAAACAAAGTGAAAATAAATTGAATTTAAATAAATGACAATTTTTTGTATGAATATCCAAAAATATTTTTTCTATGCACATATGTACAAACATACATATGTATGTATGTATGTATGTATTGCTGCGCTCCTCCCACTAGAACTTGAAGGGAGATCTCCCAATGTGAGGAATAAAAGAGTACTCATTTTGGCCTGATTTCGGAGCAATAGGGGAGATTTATTGGTTCTGACCTCCTTTATAACTCGCTTAGGAGTCAAATCGAAGATCTCCTAAGTGAGCAACAAAAGAATACTCCCAGAGCTATGATTTTGGAGCAATAAACGATTTTTGTCGATTTTGTACTCCTTTATTACTCGTTTAGGAGCGAAACGGGAGATCTCCCAAGTGAGCAATAAAAGAATACTCCCTGAGGCTTGATTACGGAGCGATAACTGAAATTTGTCGATTTTGTACTCCGTTATTACTCGCTTAGGAGCAAAAAGCGATGTCTCCTAAGAGAGTAATCCTGGAGTTTTCCTTTTGATTGATAGGGGAGCTATAGGCACCTCGTTCAAAAGAAATTGCGTATTATTGGAAAAATTTATCATAAGGAAAACTACAGAAAATATTTCATATAGAAACAATAAAAGGAGGATGCAATAATTGAATGTCGATAGCACACAGTTAAATGAAGGTCCGTCGGTATGTATTGCAAACTTCTGTTTAAATTGATTAAATGTTGTGTTCTATACCGCTAAATACTTTTCAGATTAGCAAATTAGTATCAGCATTTACGTATGACTACCTGGTTTTAACGTTCATATAATGCCGGTCCAGAGCTTTTACTGGGGGACATAGCTATCAGATGGGCAAAGTAACCTTCACATTGATCGTGGTTAAAACAAGAAAGTTTTATACACTCTATCTTTTAGCTAATATGTGAGGCAATGAAGAGCTCTTTTATTACTCGTACAGGAGGCTTTCGGGATGCCTCTCATGGGAGCACTCCCTTATTGATCGTTCGGGAGGAATGTGGGATGTTTTTCTATGTGCACTCCCTTGTTGTCTTTTTGGGATGGATAGGGGAGGATTTTATGGGAGTACGCCCGTATTGCTCCCTTAGGAGGTTTGTGGGATGATATTTCTGTGTGTGCTCCCCGATCGCTCGTTTAGGAGGTAAAAGGGATTACTCCCCCTCCTAGGGCATACAATGTTAAAGGGAGTATACAAAATTACATGCTTATACACAGAAGCACAGGGAGTAATGGCGAGTATTCGTATGCTCCCAAGGGAGTACTCACCGAGCAATCGTACGATGCTCCCCAGTTCTACTGGGCTATTACATACGAAAAAACTTGTTTATAGAAAAAAACTTTTACCGAAATGAGTTTGAATGATTTGATTGTTTTCCATTCATTCATTCACATTTTTCCATTTGAAGCAAGGCGAATTTATATAAGGTGGTGTTACTAGCTCAGCTGATTTTGTGTATGTGTTTCGCCGCACGGCTTCTGATATCAAATTGAAAAATTTTGTTTGAATTCCTACACACACTCTTACAGATTTTGACAGTTTATGCCGCCAAAGCAAAAACAAAATACATGTAAATTTTTGTTTTTGTACTCCTGCTATCACCTTATATTAATTCGCCTTGATTTGAAGGTAGAAAATATAAAACAAAATGTATATTCATAACTTACAAAATTCCAAACGCTGAGTGTTTTGTATGTAAAGTAAAATATTCATATCTACTCTACTCTGTTTGGCTAGAAGTTTAAATGAATTCATGCAGCCCTCTATTACATATGAAAAAACTTGTTTGTATTAAAAAAATTTTTACCGAAACGAGTTTGAATGATTTGAATGTTTTCCATTCATTCATTCATATTTTTCCATTTGAAGGTAGAAAATATAAAACTAAGTGTATATTCATAACTTACAAAATTCCAAACGCTGAGTGTTTTGTATGTGAAGTAAAATATTCAAATCTACTGTACTCTGTTTGACTAGAAGTTTGAATGAATTCATGCAGCCTTCTAGTTTACACTTAGGAATTCACCCAAAAAAAGGAGGAGGTTATCAATTGGTCGTTTGGACCACGTGAACCGATTTCAATAATTTTTTTTATCGGAAAGATGGTACCTCAAGGGCCGTTCCGTAATTTAGTTTGGATCCGATCATTTGATCACGAAAAAATTAACGGTACTCCTTAATTTGTATATGGGAATCGAAGTCAGTTCTTTTTTGATTGAAAATTTCTTGTTTAATAAAAAGTTCTATAAACACAAGATGCGCTCAACTTTCAAAGAAATAAAAAATGTTAAAAAAGAGTTTTAATGTTAATTTTCCTCGATTTGTGGTTTCTGGTGTTCGATGGAGATGATGATTTTTCACAATTGCATGATTTTTTAATATTTCGAATACCAAAAAGTTAACTGAAATTGTTTTTGTGAAAAGGCTGCTACGGAACGATCATTTAGCACACACAGCGTCATTCACTAAAAAAAAAAAAGAACGAAAAATTACACTGAAAATGGCACAACGCCGAAACCGGTTTGTCTCCAAACCAAATTTGACAAGGGATGACGGAAAATCGTTCCACAATACATCATCCTCCTACCCTGTCGGAAACACAAACAACTAAAAAGAAAAAAAATACCCTTTGGCAAAAAAAAGAGCAGGGAAATTAACTTATATATCATGCAACTGAAATTTGTTTTGCAAAAATAGTTTACCATCTTCAGCAGAAAGCTTGCAGTCAATCCAGTTCGAAAATGACCTTCGTAGGTCTCAAGAAGGTGCTAAAGATGATATCCCTTCAATCGTGCACTCTACTAGTTGTGAGTGTGTTTCGGATACTGATAGTGAGAGTGATTATGACTAAATTCATGTTTCATCTAATTTGCAATTACAAACCAAGTTCGTTCTAAAAAACTCGTTACATATTTGTTTTCTGTCTGAAAGAAATGTCTTGTAGTTTAGTTTTAATATTTTTATTGATCTTTGTACCACGATTGTTTATTAGGAGTTTACTTTAAATATCCTTACTTATGATTTATATTCAAAACTTGAGTAAATATGTGGTATTTACCGGTAAATACCCAATTTACCAATTAGGTATTTACCCAAGCACTAGTCGCGACCTGCCCTTTTAGGTCAGACAACACGGTTTTGGAGATTTATCAGTTTTTGAATGACACATTTTCATTCGATTTTACAGAAAAAGAGGATTTATAATATGTATAATAATCTATTTTCAGACTTGGATTGTTGGGCTTTTTCATCGGGCATTTATTTTCTTAATTTTTTCACATTTTGACCATCGCATATTTCTACAATTTCAAAATATGTAGTATAATCTAAAATTGAGTTTATTTTCAAATCAACTGACACCCCATCTATTACAATCGAAAAAATATTGTGCAAGTTAGGCAATTTTTTTAATTACGGCCTTGAAGTTATATGCGGTACTGACCTTTTATAACTTTTGCGCAGCGTGGCTAAGGAATTTATCAATAATTTTTCAAAATTGATACATACAATACCTCTTTAAAAGTAGCTTTTCAAACAAATTTCCGAAAATGGGGGTGGCCCCGCCCACTTACATATATCACATATGTGTATCTGAAAGACTACTCCGATCTTGACTAAATTTGGTATATTTAGCAAATTTAAACATCATCTTGAAAATTTTTGAAATCGGTTGAGAACAAATCCCCCTAAAATATAGCTAGCTTTGAGTTTTTTGAAATTATCATTACTTTGATTGAGCCTGTGGTTTTTGTCCGAATTTTCAAGACGATGCATAAGGAGGCTAAGGGCAATATGTATGCCAAATTTAGTCGAGATCGGTGGAGCAGTTTTTGAGAGCAGTGCCGCCCCCTTTTTCCTAAACTTTTTTGAAACATCAACTATTTTGATAAACAGCGATTTATGTATCAATTTTGAATAAATATTGATGAATTCCTTAGCCAAACTACTCAAAAAATCTGAAATCCGGTACATACACACATATAAATTCAAGGCCGTCTTTAAGAAAAGTTGCCTAACTTCAACAATTTGTATGCAATTGCAATAAATTAGGTATTAATTTAGGTACTTGAAAATAAATTTAATTTCAGATAGTACTACATATTTTTAAATTGTTGAAATTAGTGATGATCAAAATTAAAAAAATTAAGAAAAAATATTTTATTTTTATTTGCCTGATGAAAAATCCCAACAATCCAAGTCTGACAATAGATTATTATACGTAATTTTAAAGGCCTATAAATCTTTTTCTCACGACATTTTTGAGCTTAAAATTAAATAAAAATAGTCACTGATAAACCTACAAAACCGTATTTTCTGACCTAAAATAACAAGTAAATGATTTTTAAAAAATCTATAAAAATAGGGAATAATATTTCTCATAAAAAAGAATAAAATTAGGGGATAGGGTCTTGGAATTAAAAAAAAAAATTGTATGTATGTATGTATAATGTAGATGTACAAATATATGACTATAATTTAT